GGAGGCCAGGAGGGCCCAGCCTGAAGGGTCACACAAGGAACGGAGGGCAATGGGCTGGAAGGATCCCGGCTAGCAGAGGGGCCTATGCACTGAGGGCCAGGGCAGTGGCCTGGGAGGACAGTGAGGACTGGAGGAGCAAAGGGAGAGGTGGCACCTGGTGGGGGGGCGGGCAAAGAGCTGCTTGCTGAGCAGGATCCCTGCTGAAAGAGGCCCGGCTGCATGCCCCCTGTGCCTGCACAGTGCAGGGGAGCTTCACCAGGTAAGATGGCCCCTCACACCCACCACACCTGCAGGAGGCTCTGCCCAGTGGAACATGTGTCTGGTCCAGGGTCCCCAGAGCCAGGGGACCTTTGGCGAGAGGCACAGGCTGCCCAGAACATGAGGCGTCCTCAGTCTAGGAGGAAACATGACAGGTGGGGCAGTGTTTCAAGAGTGTCCAGATCATTCAATTGCTGTGGACATGCCAATTGAGTACCCTTCTCTATGCCAGGCACCGTGATGCATTCTGCAAAGAGTACCGATGCCCCCAGCAGTCCTGTCCAGCCTCAGACAAACCAGCCCAGCCATTCCGTCCTCTTCTCAAGCCTCCTGCATGCCTCAGATCTGCGCCCCAGCCTCTCCCTGCAGCCTGCTGCCGCTGTACATGCCACATCCAGTTGGCAGCGGCAGGTGGCAGACACAAGCCAAGGAAAGGGCCTGGGCCCCGGTGGTCTGATGTGGAAATGGGTCAGAAGGGTCCTCGAAAATCACGTGATCCAACCCTGTTATTTTCAAATGAGGCTCTTGAGGCCAAGAGCGAAGCACTGGTTTGTCCAGCCGGTGAGGGACACAGGCAGGCTGGAACGAGGGTGTGCTGGCAAGCCCGGCCTTGTGGGAGGCTCCCGCTCAGTGCTTGCTCCATGGCAGGCCACTCCACTGAGCACGTCAGTAAAACGAACACAGCAAAGCAGCTCCCACCGATCGACCACTGGCCATGTGCCCGGCACTCGGCGATCCTCATCACACTGGACCTTCACAGCGACCGTCAGAGAAGGTGATTTCTACCACGATTTGAGGAAACTGGAGTTTAAAGATGCAAAGTAACATGACTAAGTCACACAGCTGGGATTCCCACCCAGATCAGTCCAGTTGTAAACTGTCAGCCTCTTGTACAACTATCACGACCCCTAGCCCTCACAACAACTCTAAAAGTTAGTATTTTATCCCCCTTTTTATTAATGACAAAACTGAGGCAGAACAACCAGCCCAAGTTCACCGAGCTAACATGTGACAGGATGAGAGTGTGCTCTTCCTCCTGCACCCATGTGGCTGACGCCCTGAGCTCCCCCCCTCCAGGAATAGGGAGGAAGGAACACTCAGAAACAGACCCTAGAGCATGTGTAGAAGGGCCCTAAGTCCTTGCACTCCATCTTGGTGGTGCAAGGTACCAGCAGGCTGCAACAGCACCACCTCCTGGGGCCTCCAAGGCTGCGACCCAGAGGGAATCTTCACTAAAGGCCAAAGGTGCATGTTTTGAGTTCGGCATTTGTGCGGTGTGGACTGAAGCCACCAAATTGTGCCTGAGTGTGTTATGTGTGCCAGGTCATTAAAGGAGACGAGAGTAGCGTTGAGACTGGCAGGACAGAATGTCCGCCAGCGCATTGTCTGTGGGATGCTGGAACGCAGACTGGGATGCAGAAGCTGAATGGCCTTACTGGACGGTCTCCCAACTGGGGTCCCCGCTCTGCCCACAGCACTGCCCTTCTGAGGCGCTGCTCAAAGCCCCCTCTGCACCCCAACTGCCTGCAAACATCAGAACGCTTTTCCACGACGCTCAAGGCTCCCTCTCACTCTCTCTCTCTCTCTCTCTCTCTCACATGCACGCACACACACACACAAACACACATACACACATAGACACACTTGTTATTCCAGCATCTACTTGGCTGTTAGTCTGTAAATACTCCTCACGCTTTCCTGCTTCCGGGCATTTGTTTGTGCCGTTTCTCAGCCAGAGATTCTCTTCCCCCTTCCTCTTCTCTCCGAAAACCTACTTATTCTTCAAGGCCCATCTGGAATACCTCGCTCCCGGGAGCATTGTTAGCGCCCCTCATTTGGAACGAGTTATTCTCTCAGACCTTCCAGAGAACGCTACTCACACCCCACTTCTCAACTTACCGTGAGGGCCTGGCCCCAGTTTCCTTGTGAACAGGTTCATCTCTTCCAATTGAGGGAGAAAAGATGGGGCAAAGGTCATCTCTGTGGCCCCCTGTATCAAGCACTGTCCCCAGAAAACAGTGGCAACGTATTAATGTTTGTGGAATTTGCCTTGCAGTGTATTCAGAAGGTGCCCTCACTGCCCGCCCAGATGCATCTCGGGCTGATGGCAGCTCAGAGACTGATTCGTGGCCAGGGGAGGCCGAGAGGCCCTCTGACCAGCAGAGCCGGACCACAAAATGACACACCTGGGAGGGGGTTCTTAGCCACTCGCTTGTAAAATGGGGTTACATGCAAGTGGGGGTGTCCTGGCAAATGTTTAACGATGGCTCTCCACGAAGAAAAGGCCCCAGTTTATATCACCTGCTAATTTCTACAGTGTAAATATGGCCACCTTGGCTGACGTCAAGATACCAGATGACATCACTGAGAGAGAGCTGGGTTGGGAAGAAAAGCTAAGGATGGCTCTTCTGAGCGGGTAGAGCCAGCTCCCACACACCACGACGCCCCTCTGCCCTGCCACTGTCTGCGTGGGCATTTCTGAGTCGACATTGGCTGCCCGGGTTGTGCTGTCATATGTCTCGTTCTCCCGTGTCTTCCTGCACTGTCTATTCTCGGCCACCGTCATGAATGGCATAAACCTTTTCAGTCGCCCTGTCTGCTCTTCCACTTTCTTCTTTTTCCATCCAGCCCACCAGCCGTGGTGACCTTAACACACAACCTGGTCATGCCACTCCCCAGGTTTAAAGTTTTCAGTGGCTCTCCACCTCTATTAGGATAAAGTCCAAACTCACGACCACTCCCTGTGCGTCGTCTGGCCCCTGCCCTGCAGCTCCTCAAGTGTCCACCCCTGGCTCAGTCACACTCACCAACCTCTGGCTCCTTGACTGAGCCAAGCTTCTCCTCTTCCGGTCCCCTGCACGTGCTTTTCCTCTGCTTTCAACACTTCCTCCTTCACGTCTTCTTCGGTAACAACTATTCGTTCTTCAGGCCCCAGCTCAAAGGTTTCTTCCTCAGGGATATCTTGAGTGCCCACCAAAGAACCCAGAGTTTGACGTGTAGCACTTGTCCTCTTTGTAATATTACATGCAACTGTGTGACCGTGGGTGTAATATACGCTTCCCCCACTGGACTGCAAGCTCACGGAGAACAGAGACCCTAACTGTCTTACTCACCTACAGGTAGTCAGTATTTAGCACAGAGCCAGCTACATGGTAGAAAATAAACATTTGTTGATTGAATTAATTGGTTAATGGTCTACAAGTCCAAGGAGATAAATAAGATCTTCATGGATGGCCATTCCCAGCATTGATCTTCCAGGAAAGAGGAGGAGCCCCAGTGGGAAAACTAGAACTAAGAAGGCAGGCATGAGATCAACAAGGCATGACACGTGTCCTTCTCTTCATCCATGACTTTGCTGTCTTGAACTTGGACTTTGAGGAATCAAGAAGTCTAGACATATGTCCTAGGTAGCAAGTGCAAAGGAGGTACCTGTCTATGAAGAAGGTTTTACCTATAATCTAGGCCTGGCTTGTTCCCCGCCTTGGAAAGGGAGGAAGGATTACAGTTAATTATGTGGAAATTAGAGAGCCTTGACCCTTGAATCTTCTAGCCTTATTTGGATCAGGAAAGGAAGGTATTTTGTTTCTAAGTTTGGGCCAAAAAAGTAAAAATCGGAGCAGCAGCACCTCCTAAGGCCAGAGTGATGGCAGCGGTGGGAACAAGCAGGAGAACTCAAGAGGACACTGGATCCCAGGGCCTGGGATGAGAAACAGAGCTCCTGGCCTCCCTGCAGCATCCCACTTGGACAGGCTCCCTCCATGGCCCACCTTGGAGGATCTGGCCTTGGTTTTCATGAATCATGGCGAGAAATGTCTTCAGGGCCCTAAGGCCTACCATTTCTGATCCTCCACTTCAATGCTTTAGATCCATGGGGCCAACCTTAAGGTGCCAACTGTAGGCCAAAGAGCTCAGAGCAATGACTCCAGAAGGAACCATGCACCAGCCTGGCCAGGGTTGCTGGATTGCTACTGAGCACCCAGGAGACCAGGCGAGAAGTGAGGACATGATCCAAGCAGCCAGGATTCGGCGATGGCAAGGCAGAGGTGGGCATGGATCAGGATGGCGAGTGGCAGGCAGGGAGGCAGGACCCTACAGTTCCGCCAGGAATCAGGACAGCACCAACCCCAGCCCCACCCCTAGTGCTGCTCCAGCCCACCCCTGCTCAGAGGAAGTGGCTTTCCTGGCCCCTGGTCAGCCCATCCATCCCTGCCAGGAAGGAGAGGCCAAGGGGAACCCATGCCCCCCGAGAGACCGCACAGGGTCCTGCCACAGGGAGCCCATCAGCTCCTCTCTCCCCACTTCCCCTCCACTGGCCCAAATCGACTCTCTCCTCCAATGCACAGCCTCTGCCCACCTCCTCAGTGAAGCCTTCCTGGCATTCCAGCCCTCTTTTTTAAGTCTACACCACATAATTCTGCAATGCGTATAATTCTGGATCTTTCCCCAATTCAACCACCTCCAGAGTCAGACGTATGAAGACAGTGTAATAAACACAGTCTATCTGTGTTTATTATCCATCTAAAAGCAACACAAAGTTTACAAATACCTAATTAAGGATCTATCATCACTGCCCTCACCGGGTCACAAAGCCAGATTGTCACGTGTCATGAGGCACGCGGGAATCCAGAGGACAGTGGCTGGTGCACGTTATGATGGAACATCAGTGGCTCCCGCCCTCCTCTGACTGTTTCCACACATTGTGACATGTGCAGTTTACGTAGGAGTCACGGTGACCTTATCTTAAACAGCAGAATGTTTACAATACTTTGTAATGAGATGTGAAATGACCATGAAAACCTTTTGTGCTTTGAAGGGATTGCAGGCTATCTCATGGCAAAGTACATAAAAAGGTAATTGATTTTAAGATGAGTTATATATTTTTTCTTCTACAAAAACATATGTTCAAAATTTGTTGGACTTTTCTGTGATGAAACTGGCTATCATAGTATAACATCTGGCATATTCTTATTTTTTTAACTTGTCCCTTCCAGGTAAAAGTGATGTTTTAACAATGAGCGATAAATAACTGTTTTGCCAAAGGAATGTAAGTTATAGTGAAAGTACTTTGAGCACCAGTTTTTAGAAATGTTTCCATCATTGTGTGATTTTGTTCTCTGAGGTAAATATATGTAATACCTTTTTTTAAATAAAAACAAAAAAGAAGAAGCTAAAATATTTGCACACTTTTAAAACTTGGAAACAATTTTGTAAGCTATTTAAGAATTTTCCAAAAAGAAGAGCTCCAGTGGATCTTGAACTCATTTGTTAAAAATATAACTTTTGATTAGTTTACAAAAATTGACATTAAGGAAGATAGAAACTGACTAGCTGACTAGATGAATTTCAATAAAAACTTATGCAAAATTGCTGGATGGGTTTTGTTTTTTTCTGTTTTTTTTTAATGAGCATCTTGATTTAGCAAGCACAGCCAGCATTGCATTTCTTCCATTTGGATTTATTTGTCTTTGAAAGACTCTTTTTTCAGTTCTGCCTACCGTTAAAACTAGGTAAGGGGAAAAAAAGAACTTAGAACCAGAACTCTGAATCCAGTGATCTATTACAAAGGGTTAAACCAACATTTAAATACATTCAAATACATTTCTCTAAAACTAATAATTTTGAGAACAAAATGTCTTTTTTTACTATTAACAAATAAAATTTATGTTTTAAAATTAAAAAATATTACTTTATCACTTCCTCTTCAGTTTCTACAGTATTTAGTCTCTTTTGTACTTCATTGCTTTTTTGTTGTTTGTTTGTTTGAGACAGAGTCTCACTCTGTTGGTCGGGCTATTGTGCCGGAGTGTCAGCCTAGCTCACAGCAACTCAAACTCTGGGCTCAAGCAATCCTCCTGCCTCAGCCTCCCAAGTAGCTGGGACTACAGGCATATGCCACCATGCCCAGCTAATTTTTTTTATATATATTTTTAGTTGTCCAGCTAATTTCTTTCTATTTATAGTAGAGACAGGGTCTCCCTCTTGCTCAGGCTGGTCTCGAACTCCTGAGCTCAAACGGTCCGACAGCCTCGGCCTTCCAGAGTACTAGGATTACAGGCATGAGCCACCGTGCCTGGCCTTCGTTGCTTTTTATATATAGTTTCTTTTGTGTCACTGATAAATTTGAAAAGAGTACTTACTCTACCTTTAGCTCACCTTCCTTCTTTCTATTTTTGTGTGTGTGTTATCCTGAACATCTCACTAGTACACAAATAGATGCTTATGGTTAATAAATAAGTAATCAGGTGGGGACTGATGGGGATGTGAGGTCAACAGTTTGTGGAGATCGCTCCTAATTCAGGTAAGTCTCTTGCTTCACCAACAGATTGAAGCTCCGTGGGGCAGGAAGAATGACATAATTCTTCCACAACTTCTCTCCCGCACCCAACTCCTCGCCATGGCCACCCAGCAAGCATTTGATGAATGGAGAGATGGGAACGAACGGAACACAGTTGCTGGGGATGCTGGGAAGATGCTTTCCTGCCCTTGGACTCTCACCAGCCTGGGAGTTAGCAGACTTGTGATCAAGGCATAGCTTTGGCACCAGTTATTTGGTGGCCTCAGTAGAGATCTCACTGGGTCTTTTTTACTTAGCTAAAATATAAAGTTTCCAAATTTCTGGCATTTATGTGACAACAGAATTTTTGCCATTTCCTCATAACCCCTGTCCCCTAATTAACATAATACTTCTCTTTTAAATAAATCACTTTTTCTTACAAGTCTTATCCTAAGCAATAATATCCTAAAATCATGGATTGATGAGATAGTTATTTTTGTCTGCTATATATTAAAATAAATATGTATCTGTGAAAATATAAAATGTTCATATTCTTGTTACCAGGAGTGTATGCACCATTCTTAGGGAAACCTGGATCCAGATGGTATTTCTGAGATCTATTTCAACTTTAAGTTCTTCCAGTCCATAATTCTAACAATGGAATGATCCATCTGGCTTCCTTGCAGCTCTCTAAGTCTGGTGCTTCCATGTTATTTCCCCAAGTCGGAGAACAATTCTTGCCTTCCATTTGGAGTAAATTATGGGGATAGAAGTGAAATTATTTTTTATTTCAAAATGACAAGCTCTATCTCAGTGTCCATCACTCCAAATCAAAGCAGTATGATACTCTATCCATGCATCTCTGATGAATTTTTCTTAAGTTACAAGTTTTTAGCTCCAAGATTCATTTCCACCCACAAGCACTGAAGCTACAGTCAGTGTGGTATTGTCAAGACTGTTGAATGTATATGTGAAATGATGAGGGGACTGAACTCCATGCTTAGAATCAAGGGATTGGTTTCTGGTTCTGGCCTACCAATAATTTCTTAGCAGTGTCACTGTGGACAAGTTACCGGTCCCTTCCACACCCTGTGTGAAGGAAGGAAACAAACGTGACTAATCTCACATGGGCATACATTGCCACTGTTACGTACACAACACACACTGTGGGCCTTACATTCTACTGGGAGGAGACAGACATCTAACAGTGTGGGATATTATAAAGTGGAAAAAAATTAATCAGGAGCAGGGAGATGGAAGTTTCCAAGAGTCAGAGACTCATTCTTCCCAGGACCGAAACTGCCCTAGGCATGCCTCCCAGAAGCTCCCCTTCCTTCCCCCTCCAAGTCCCCAATTTCTAATCTCACCCACGTGTCAGGCCTTATCGCTCAGGTTACAGCTAGTAGCAGAAACCACCCACTAGTCTCTGGACCCAGACAATGTGATATTTCCCATCTGGTCCTTGTTAAAGGAGCTCTTAGCCTGACCCTAGACAAAGCAAAGACAGAGCTGGAACCTCAAATTCATCCACAACTAAAGCAGACGCGCAGGCAACCTAGTTATAGGACATTGGATCTGTCACTCAACTTCCGTGGCATGCAAGGTCTTTTTTTCTATGAAATATGGAGGTGGGACAAGGTTACTTCTAAAGGCCCTTCTGGTACTGAAATTCCTTGAGTGTAATTGTATCAACAACAAATAACAATGCAAAAAATATTGACAGAAGTAGACTATACCAAGAACCTTAGTGATGCTGCCAAGATTATACAAATGGCATTAACCCTGAAATGAAGCCTGAAAACAGGATTGACATGGCCTCAGAGCTATCACTCATCTACGTGATCTTGGGAAAATCCTCTCTAGAACACATAACACTAGTAACATTGGTTGAATTCCTGTTAGGCACCAGACACTGTGCTAGACACTCATCCCATTGTTCCCACTTCCACCGAGGGCTGGCGTAGACCTTCATAGCGCTTTACACACGACGCAGTGACTAGCAGATTCTGTCAGGCTCCCGCTTTTCCCAGCTCCACCCTGCCTCACGCCTGCTCAGTAGAAGGCAGTGTTTCTGGACCAGAGGAACACAGTGGAGATCTATATCTGGCCCATAGACATGTTTGTGTTGGCCCACACCAAGTTGGCCTGTACCACATTTTCAAAAGATCTTAATCAGTTACTAACTGATTTCACATTTAAAAAAAAAAAAGAGGTCTGACTTCCTTTTAAAAATCTGAGACTGTGCCCACATTTATAGCTGGCATTGGCTGGAGGTAAGTCAGAATCACCCCATGAGACAAGGCATGGGCACACTAGTTTGTCACAGACCCCGCCACTCTCTGTTGCCTCCTGATCAGCCCCCTTCGCCCACTGAAAATACCTGCCTGGCCTCGGTCCCCTGACTGCCCGTCCAGAGCTTCAGCATGACCACAGAGGATGTCAGGATCCAATGTGTTATGAGACACTGAAATGTCCTTGGCCACACAGGCTGTAAGAAATGTGCACTAGATTTATGTGAGGACTGGAAATAAAAATAATAACAGGAACGCTTTATCAAGTACCACTCCATCCCAAGCTCTATACAAGTTATTTCATTTTGCCCTCAGGAAAACCCCTATTAACTTTCATTAAAAAAGAAAGAAAGAAAGAAAGAAAGAAAGAAAAAGCCTGGCACAGTGGCTCACACCTGTAATCCTAGCACTCTGGGAGGCTGAGACACGAAGATTGCTTGAGCTCAGGAGTTCGAGACCAGCCTGAGCAAGAGTGAGACCCTGTCTCTCTTTACAATTTCTCAAAAAAAAAAAAAAATAGAGAAATTAGCCAGGCATGGTGGTGCATGCCTGTAGTCCCAGCTACTGGGGAGGCTGAGGCAGAAGGATTGCTTGACCCCAGGAGTTGGAGGTTGCAGTGAGCTATGATGATGCTACTGCACTCTAGCCCAGACAACAGAGTGAGACTCTGTTTAAAAAAAAAAAAAAAAATTAAAAAAACAGAAATTCAAGAGAGGTTAAGTGACATGTCCAAAATCATACCTTTGGGATTCTGAGCCCAGACTAGCCCGACTTTCCTAGGACACATTTCCTATTGCCTCCCACCTGGCATTTGTATGGTATTTTTGACTTTTCCAAGATGTGAACTCTGACTCCATTATGAAATTCAGGATTTTATTCTAAATTAAATGATGTATAAAGGGATTGACTAGACATACTTACTCTCCATGCTGGTGGCATGGGGCTGGGCAGTGGGGCAGAGCTGGGGCTGGAAGCAGACGGAAATAGCTGTGCAACTGTCGAGCCATGTCAAATTTGGGAGTGTATGCAAGACCCACCAACAAACGCCCCTGTGTCTTTTGCAAGACTTCAGACATTCCAGGCCACCGGGCTGATCAAACCAATTTAACGGAGCTAGGGGCGAGGGTAAGCTCAGATTTGCTCAGCATTAGGCTGTGTCTGGGCATGCAAAGAAGTGCATTTCTCACTGACTGGTCAATACCGCCGCAGCAAAGAGAGAATTAAGGAAACATGCAAACTGAAAACTGTGTGCCTGTGCTAGATTATCCTGGCCTTCACCGATCTGTTCCTACAATGATTGGGCCTCTAGTATCTGCTCTCCTAGCCCCAGTGGCAGTGGGAGAGCCATCCTTTGACTCAGCACATCCTTACTGAAGGCCATCTGTGTCAGGTGTGTGCAGCAGACGAATCAACTTGACCCCTGTCCTAGAAGAAATCCACAGGCCATTGGTGGCAGACAGACATGGAAACAAACACTGAAAGTGTTCTGAGTGCTCCGTCTGAATGTCCGAAAGAGGGAGCTGGGTCCTCAGTACTCTCTGTGTAACTTTGGCAGCTTAAAAACCACTGTGGGAACTCACTTTTCTTCTCTCCAAAATGGTGATAATAAAATACCTCCTTCACAGATTCACTGGGAACACAAACTGATGCTCCACCAACATATTTTGGGTTTTATCTCTCCTGTCAAAAGTACAGCCTTTGAGGGCGGATACTTCCCTTGTGACCCCCACTCCACCCCAAAGAAGTCTATCACCTCAGTAGACCCTACGGTGGTCACTCAGAAGGGCCCACAGACTGTCACAGACCAGCGCACTGAAGTGTGAGGAAGCATGGCTGAGGCCCAAGACCTGAGCATCCTGAAGAAAAAACTCTGCAGTCTGTAGAACAAAAGAGGAAGACCCTGAAAACAGCTGGGGAAAAAAAGGATGAGGGGATGAGATGGCTTTTTGCAAAGGACACCCAGAAGGGTGGGTATGGATTGAACTTGGTTGCACACAGCATCTCTGAGCAAGTGCCTCCTTTGCTGTCAGGGTGGGAGTTACCAAGGTGACTTCTACCCTGGCCCCTCTGGCAGAGTGTTTATGTTCTATGTTGGCAAGAAGATCTCCTCCATCAGTTAGCCTGTGCTTTGGCTACAATACAGATGCCCAGTAGGGGCCTGATAGAGCTGTGGCTCAGCTCCTGGGCGTCCAACATTCTCTGTGTTCTTTAAAGCCAACCCACCATGCCGTCTCTGGTCCATTACCACCCCATCCCCCACCCCCAGTCCGCCCCTGAGCCCTCCAAAGCCTTGGACTGCCTAGGATCAGAGACTGTGCGCCAAACACCTTGAGATGGAATTCGAGGCTGTATGCATTGCACACTAACTTTTTCCTTTGCTCAGCACATAGTAAGAGCACAGTGAAAATTAATGAATTAAAGCTCCCTGAGGACAGAGACCGCTGTGTCCTTCTCTACCAGCCAGCCCATTTTAGATGTTAATACATTCTAGTAGCTGACTTATATGGTTGCCACTAAGGACACGCAGACAGCCTGAAGGAGATTAAATGTTGGTTAAGTGGGCATCCGATGCCAGCGGTGGCATTGGCCATCTGTCCCAGGATAGACCCAGGTATCTACACGCAATCATTGAACAACCTGAATGCCTGTTAAAAACCCTCCCACGCCCACCCTGGGCACAGGGCACTCACACCCACCCTCCCCCATCCCCACACAGGCCCTCTGGCTCCTTCCAAAGCTCAGAACCCTGGGCTGTGCCTGCCGCACCTGCCCCAACACTGCCCCTGCAGGGTGAGTGCAGAGCAGCCGTCCTCTTGGGAAATGATGCCGAAACTTGAACTGACTGTGTGTGGAAATCTCCAAAAAGGGAAAAATTGTTGTTTGCCAAGTGATGTTTTTCATGTTCAGAAGAGGTGGGTTGGCAACGCATAGACTTCCCCTGCTCTGGATTGGGGCTAAAATGACTGAAGTATAGCACCAGTATTTTTCACAAAGTAAGTGGCATTAATCTGTTTAATTAATTAGACAGACTAAATGGACATCCTTCTGGTTT